ACTAGTATACATTAAGACACCAGCAATGGGCGTCCTAGAAGTGGGGGAATTTCCATTATTATCGGATGCAAAATATCAGGTTTTCACTGGATATCATGATTTTTTTGTACATAAGTATTTATCGATTGCTGACTCTTTTTTTCGTCACATTTTTGGAAAATATTTTTAGTAGGAAACTTTTGGTGCCCGGAAAATCAAACAAAATACTTAATTTATTACCATTCTGACTTTAAAAATAATAATTAACTAAATAAAAGTGGATACCCTGAAAAAAAAATTTGGAAGGAATTTCATTCTAACACTAAAGTCGATCTTCTGGAGAAAGGATAGCTCCATGCCTGCTTGTTTGCTGTTCTCAGCGACATCTACTTCATCGGAGGGTTTCGTACTGCAGCATGGGTTGACGTGAAGGACTAGGAGTCAATTCTACTCGACAAGATTGCTGTTGATGGTGGGGAGCGAAATCTGAAGGTGGGCTCTTTCATGAAGTTTTCCTTGGAGATTCTGGTTTTCACGTTCATTATTTTCTCCAAACCCCCTTAGAAAAGTTTTCTTTGGATGGGGAGATAGATGATGGGGCTCTCTTATCAATAGAAAACTTGCTATTTCATGCCCTTTAATCTAAAAATGAAGCATTTCTTACTTAATATAGACATGAATTCATGATATTTTCCAACTTAAAAGAAAAACATGCACAACAATAAACAAGGAAATGCATACGGAGCAGATAAATGTTGTCTCTACTGTGATTTTTATGCCTTTTTTTCTGAGGAAAACTGAAACGAATTTCTCCAGAGTAAGATGTAGTGAATCTGGGAGCTTTGTGGAATAGATAATCGTATACGTTTCTCTGAAAAGATTCACGCTTTAATAGACAATGGCCCAATGGTCAAGATCCTGGGCGAATATTAATCAAGATACCTTTGATGATCCATCTGCAGCCGTAAGCTTAAATCGCCCTTTCTGTTGAACAATTCATTCTTCCAACTTCTCCTCACGCTCATTAGCTGCACCGGAAGGCCATTTCACACAATTTCTTCATCAATATTCTGCTCAAGGATAAAATGAAATACCAGAAAGATAAGAGAACCCTAAAAGAATCGAGAATATAATGTCAGGCATACCAAGATGGTGACGGCCATCCCTGCTTTGACCATATGACACTGGCATACTGAGGTTTCTCCCAGGTTGGAATCTGTGTTCTCCATCATCTCTTTCAGAACATCAAAATATATCCAATATCAATCTATATATGTAACTTTTCAGTATAAAATCTTGTACATAAATTCCAAAGAATACTAAAATCACTGTAATATTCAATAGATAACTTTCTACAATGATATGAATGTCATGCTTCTCTAGAGCGAAAAATTAATGAAAACTACGATCTATTTTGAGATTGAAATGCTGAAGTTACCATTTTTATGAGCCAAATATTATGTTGTATGGTTATCATAAAAGTACATTTGGTTTACTTTTTATGTTGGGTTTTAGGTCTAAGGTCTTTAACCCTTCCAACTTAGAGTTGGACCTTACTAATAAACCATGTGCTGGCTCGTCAAGTATCAACTCATATCAGCATTGGGTTGACCTTCTTTTAAAGTTTCTGATGTCCAAAAGGGTCAACACTCGTGTCAACCTCTAGGTGTGATAAGAAGATGGCTGGCTATACAGAGGGTTGAACCTTGTCTTAAATTATAATCATTCTATGCAGAGTCAACTTTTACCACTATGGAAGTCAACCCAACATGAAGCAAAGAAATAAGAACACAAATAGTCGACAGCCATAAAGAAGAGACTGGGCATAAAAGTTATTACAATTCTAAAGGGTCAACCCCACACATTTGGAGGTTGACTCTTGCAACATCGTAATGGCTACCTTATTTCCATTTTCTAGCCATTGGAGAGACACCCTTTTTTCAAAAACCTGTAGAGGCTCTCCAGTTAGATAGAATAAAAAAGATAGACGATTCTAACAAAAACTAGAAAAAGGAAGCTCATTGAGTCATTGGGCATTAACTGCAGTGGCAGAACCAGGGAATCTGGTTATCTGAGAAGGGAGGAAAGGAGTAGTGTGACAAGGGAGGACAGTGTGAGAGAAGTTTCAACAGGATTTGGGTATGTAAGTGAGTCGCTTCAGCTGCTGTTTCTCACAGTTTTCCTCGAAACAAAAAAAAAAAACATGAGAAAATTAAAATCGAGCAATGGGCCGCTTAGTAAACCTCTCCACCGTATTTTACTTTGGCCCATTAGTTTGTCACGCTTACTGGCCTAATCAAAGCCTGAAGTTGCTGCACCAACTGATACTGGACAGATAACAGGGATGTAGGAAGTAAGCAAGAAAACATACTAGATGGATTGTCTAACTGAATATAAGTGATTAAAACCCTACCTTAACCCTGAATGGACACTGCTTTATATAGTTATTTTTTCAGCCTAGTCTAACTTCTGCAAGTCATTTCCACACCAAAAGGACATTATTAATCCATAAAACAAAAGCGTGAACTTAATAGGCATGAAGTTTAAGATTAGAGTTCAGCTACAACATTTCAATTATCAGTAAATAAAAACAACAAAAAATTCTAGTTTTTCATGCCAAAAGTTCAAGAAATTGAAGCAAATTATTCAGAAAAAGTCAACTGAAGCAATTCGTAAATGAGAATAAAAACGATCCAAAAGGTTTTAATGGCAAGAGGTAATGAACATTCAGAAAAACATGGATAAAAGACACATGATGCATCAAACACAGTCATGGTAAGAGAAAAAACATAACTAACGACACTTTATACGCCTGAATTGTCTGCAATATTTTATAAATTACCTTTCAACATCCCCAACACCCTCCCCGGAAGGGATAACATGTGGAGGTAGAACCGAACCACTTAAATACTTCGGATGGTCAGAACTAAGAATATTTCGGCCCACGGAAGATATTCTCTCTGAGGTATCATCTTCATGCATTTTACTTCCTAAGCTGTCTACCTGTGAAATATTTGATGGCATTGCATCTTTCCACTCAGGGGTGCCAGGGCTAATTGAATCCTCACAAACATCAACACACCCCCTGCAAAGACAGTTAATCAGAGGACGCGCACCAAGAAATACCACGGTGTGCATTATCAGATAATTACTGAAAAAATAACGTTAGGAAACACCAATGCCAACAACATGTTGAAGTCCCACATATGACTGCACATATAGTTGTGTAACTTGAACGTACTACTTGGTCACAGTTCATGAGCAGCATAAATGTATCAGAATGACCTTTTTGCAGAGATTCTGATATCTAGGGATTTACACTAAAATGTAATTCACAAGTGCAGAAAACCACAATCCATACTGGTTGCCATGGGAAAATAAACAGAGCAACAACATATCATCTGCATATATGTGCATACAAACAGAAACACCTACATCTTTCAAATGCAATAACCAACTTTCAGTCTCCTTAATATGCAGTTCAATCAAATGCAGTGAATTTAGGACCCGGAACGGTCCAGAATAAAATTAGGGTAGTCCGGTCCAAATAATGTTCTCAAAAGACCAAAACAGGACTAAAATCGGGTCACAATCCTGATTCACAATCCTGATTCACAACTAATATTTTAAATATGTTATTGTGAACTATCTATTTTCAGTCGAATTCATAGACGATAAGAAAACCTTCACTCACTTCAGTGCTTGAAGAGGGAGCATTGGAAATGAAGAAGCAAGTGAATCCTCCAAATCCTGACCATCACATCTCTCATCCTAAGAGAAAAATAATAATGTTAGGATACCTTTCAAAATAAACAACAAAAACCAAACACAGAAGAAGCCACTATTGCGCGACATTTTATGATGGTTCAATTTCAAAGCTTCACACCAACCAGTGTACCTCTCTCACGTTTGCTGCTTCTGAACTATTAACATTTTCAGAGCTCACAATATCTGTCACTTCAAAGTTGGCACTTTCACATCGATCTTTATCGAAATCTTCAATCATGGAGAAGGTATCAGATGATTGAATCTGCAAAAGAAACGATGGAAAATATCAAATTTTGTTATCAAAAACCGGAACAATACTCAGAGAAAGCTACTTATGGGATTACGAGAGCAGCTTGAGCCTTCAAGTCCTCAAGATTAAAATTCCAGCCACTTATCCCCCGCATGTACTCTTTCTACACCACATACAACCGTTTAGGAAAGAAACCATTTTCTGTTGAATGCAAAATGACGATCGACTAAGATAATCTTAAGGAAAGGAGCATCACATGGCACATGCTTTAACATTTTTACATTAGGAACCTTAGTTCCATAAGGACAGAGCCATTTACTTATGATGCACTTTGGATATGAATGACTGAAGGTTATCAAAACCCTACTCATAAAGTAGACCATCCATAGAGCGTCTATGGGATGACAATATTTTCCTCTTACGAACCCTTTGAAAGACTAATAAAATGTTTCACCAACTCAGACCACTATATAGTCAAATGGAAACAGCTAAAGATAAAGACTTTCCAGGAAATTTTTCGGAGGCTATTTGCTCAAAATATGTTAACAGCTGTGTGGCACCAAAAATAGAGGAGAGAGGTCGATTTCATTTTTCTTCATTGTTGTTTTCGTACTGGACCTCATTACCCCTGAAAAATATAATATATGAGAGTAGTTTGGTCATTCGATTGGGGTTTCCGAGGTTTGCATGAATCCGTGTCAGGCTATGTTTTCTTTTCGATCGGTCCAACTCTTACTCTATTCTCAAGTGTTCTATGTTTTTAGAGATTCTTTCCGAGGTTTCCTATTCACTGATTTCATTAGTAACTCACTTACCAACAACATGAAAATTATATTTTGAAAGAAAGAAGCGTTGATAAGTCCAAATATGTAACAACAATTACCTGTGATAGGTCGTTCTTATCCTCATAAACCACCTTATTTTGAAGTAAATAAGCATCTTTGGCCTAAAAAAATGGATCACTGCAGTGTAGAAGGAAAGTTTCCTTTTAAAGAAGAATCTTTTAGACTATTACTTTTAGTTCCCTAAATCGTTCACCGAGTGGAGCAAGGCCATCAAGGATCGTCCGTGCCAAGTATTCATTTGTGCGACCATTTTTGAAAAAGTTATGCTTCAAAAGCTTTTCTGAGGATGGACGCTTCTTCGGATCTTTCACCAAGCATGCAGCTACCATCTCTTTAAAAGACTGTAAAGAGATTTTTCAATTTCACAACATCACTCAAGAAGTAACACCTAGCATCAATTTCAAAAACAAGAATGAACCTTGGAGAATCTTTTGTCTCTTTCATAGTCAAGGCCTGGTGGTGCATTTTGTAAGGTCAAAAGCAACACCTATGAAAAGAAGAAATGAGATCACTCAAATTGTTGAATTCAAGAAATATTCATAACACCACTTTCATGAAGCTAGTATACGCAAAAAAAAAAAAAACACATTTAACAAAACTCGACCTTCATTGGTGGGTGCTTCGAAAATGGAGCATGGCCATGTGCAAGCTCAAGAGCCGTTATCCCAAAGGACCATATATCTGCTCTGCTCGGAGGAAATAAGTCCCAAAATGAGCCCAGTATATCCTCAACGTACCAATACTACAAAAATCAATACTATAAAAACTTCTGAAAATCATTAAGTGGTCACACACACTTGCAATCATATCCATGCAACGGTTGCATAACTTCTTGAGCCATTCTGTACATGCATAGTGAAATGGGAAGCAATAAGTCAACACATATGTGATACCAATGGTCCATCATATACGTCTGAATCAACCATGTCAACACATCAGTTAACAGCAAATAATTCTAAGATGTCTGTATGCTTGTTGTTCGGGTTATGAAAAAAACATGCAAACGTACGTTTAAATGACTATAATACCCTTTCTTATTTTCATATATTTTATGCATGCACATAAGTCTTGTAGAGATATGACATAAAGAAATATTTTCAGACTACCAAGGACCAAATCAAACCACTCCAATAGCAACATGAGATATGCAATGAGAAACGAAAAAGGATAAGTAATGAACCAGCATGGAGTTCCCACAAAGCTGTTTCTTGATCGTTGTCTTTCTCCAATATCAAACATGCAAGCAGAGACTCCAAAGTCGGCTAACTTCACAGCACCATTTGCATCGATTAAGATATTACCTGCCTGAAAACGTGTCGACAAAGAGTATTAGACAGAAATAAAAGCTTACCACGACAATTTTTTTTTAACATTTCATGAAGGTACAATGCTCAAAATTTCATACGAATGTATTAAAAAAAAAAGGTCCATATATTTACTTAACCTTTTATCGACTCATCAGAAGAAACATAACTTATACACAATTATACCATTTATTTCTTGAAAGAATATAGCTAGAATACTAGAGGATCTATAATCAATCATGGTGCCAAGCAGCTAAATATTTCATACGGTTCTGAAAACATACTAAATTCTGATACAAATACAATAAATTCTGGTTTATTTACTACCTAAGTGAAACCTAATTGCCTCACTTTTATATATTTCACTAGACTACAAAAATAAAAAACTAATCAACATTGATTCATTTCTATGATTCCTAAAGTATTAGAGTTCAGACCACCCATGCAAGGTCAAAATTCTAGACAAAACCTAACATTGCCCTTTGAATCGTCAATATAAATTCCAGAAAACTTGTTTTCTCCATTTCATCAGAATCACCAATTTAAAACAATCATTTTTTATTATTTTTAAATGTAAAAATTCATTGACATTAAAAAGATAAGGGATTGCATTTACTTCTTTCTTTTTCTCTCCTTTGACCCTCTTTCATATATTAGGCAACGAGGAAATAAAAGTAGGATCAGGCATAGGAGTTTTAGCCTCTCAATTCTGATACATGTTCAATTTTTGGCCTAGAATTGGGCAATTCCTAGAAAATACATAAGTCGGAGAAATCTCATAATAAACTACAGAAAAATATTAGAATGAACTACCAAAATGTGGTCGTGGATTCAGACAATTCTAGTTGGTTGGCTATTTTTAATTGGGTGAACTTGTCAGCTTGTCTGCTAAAGGTGAGCAAGTAGCAGTGAGTTCTGGTGAGCACATCCCAACTAGGGTAACCATAGACCAGAGCAAACCTCATTTGGATCAACAGTTCTGTCAAGGTGGTACGATAACCTAGCAGAAGTGAAAGAAGCCCCATGACTCCTCACTGATATCACGTGTTGCAGAACTGAATTTTATTAAAAAATCCATTCTTTCACATCATCCGATTGATCCTTTTCCTTTGGGTTCACAGATTTCATCCCGAATAGGGGACCTTAACAAACAACACGAAATTCCAGATAATGGATGATAGATATTCAAAGCTCTATAAAAAAGGTCTCAATTTAGCAAAAACTTTACCACATTTATAGACTTATATGGCCACTGCCCATCTGTGTTTTGAGGTTTCCAAGCGAGTGGGCACCCTTGTAATGAATTTTCACAATTTTATTGCATCCTATCATTAAACATTCTTCGAATTCATTCTTCATTATTTCCCTCCTACATCTCATTTGACTTCCACAAACGCATGTACATATTTCTAAGCTTATACAAAGAAACAAGTATCTATCTAACCCAAGAGACACTTTTTCACCACAAAACCATATGCCTAACAGATCGACATAGATTAAGGCTGTTACCGAAAAAATATTAATGATGGTTTCTTCCATCAGCACTGTCAATATTGATAAATAATCTAATAAATCATATAATACCTTGACATCTCTATCAATGTGGCCCTGGCCATGGAGATAAACGAGGGCTTTAAGAACCTCACGTAATAGGGTTGCAATAACTGGCTCTTCAAATCCTTCAAGATGAGCATATTTCATAATATGAAGGCAAGATCCTCCAAAAAAGTAAGGCATCACAACCCAAAGACTCATATCCGAAGTGAAAGAGCAATGAGCATTTAGTAAATTAGGATGATTGATTAAACTCATTGTCTTCACTTCATGCCGAATTCCATCCTGAAAATAGAAAGTAAATTTCTTTGCATAAATATATATATATATCATTCAGTAATGCATGGACAATGACTAAGCCGAACATAAGTAATTCTACAAAGCCTGTGGAACAATTAGTCCAAGACACGAGACTATGGATCTTAAAAGGATTATTTGTAACAACATCAAGGGAATCATTTATGTAATCAATAATATAATATTTGTTAAGAAATCAGAAGTTCACCGGATAGTACACATAGAATGAAGTGGTGTTGTCACAAGAATAAAAATCTATATTGTTGCTATGTTGCCAACTCTAACTATCACATGTCAAATGAACATATAAATTCTCTCAGCACGGACAACTACATTGGATCACATCGCCAGACTTTCCAGCATTCGTTTGTTTGATTTGTGTCAAAGGTTATCTACAAAAGAAAATGTAACAAAACTATGTTTTTCTTCGAAAGCACCAAAAGTTGCCCATGATTAACTTGATCAGAATTTTTGGAATCTTAGATTGAGCGTACTTATTGCCTTCACTCTCCTTATTCTATGTTATTTGGTTTTAGTTACCATAGCTGAAATAACTTTTCCATTATACATTTTAATTATTTTTGATCTTGATCTTATCGTCGATACATAGAAAGCAAATGATGAAATAAATAAACATTAAATAATGCAAAAAAAAACTCGTAACCTAGCAAAAACCAAACTCTTCTTGGAAAAGTAAAAGAAATAACCAAGAGAATAATCATGATGTCTTGGAACTCTAAAGGATATAAATATTTGTCTCTAAGTACTTGAATACAAACCATCTTACTAGGTCATTATTGCATTTTTCAAGGTCTAATATCTTGATGGCAACAACTTCGTTGTATGGAATACAGAGTGCCCTGTAGACGGTGGCACTGACACCATCCCCAATTTCTTCATACAACTTGTAATCCTTGGGATCAACTGGAAATTTCTTCTCTGATACATGTTCCATGATTCTTTCCTATAGCACATTATTGAATGCCACTTGCTACTAGAACGTCCAGGATACTCAAATGAGCTGATCATTCAAAGAAATGCAAACTAAAGCAATCTTCATCGAAATTTGAAAACAAGAGGCAGGCAGGCCAATTATCTTTTCATGGAGATAGTGGAAAGTGGAAGAGCTGCCTTGAAAACAAATGGGATAATATTCTTAAAAAATGCAAGGGACCTTTTCTATTTGGACCTTCCTATGACAAACTAAAGATGATAAATAATAATGACAGAAGTATTATTCAGAGATAAAATTAAAAAAAGAGAGAGACTTCAGAAACTTTTCGGATAAGTCATGCAATAGAGGTAAAAGACAAATGCATAAAATGTAATGTGATATTTAATTCTAGCTAGTTTTCACATAGTCATAAATAATTGGTGACGACATAATGTCAATATATCCAGATAGAGTGTATCAGAATAAAAAAGGCCAAATTAGATTGATATTTATGAAAGAAAGAAAAAAATAAAAAAAGTAGCAATAACACAGATAATTCTTCAGTGTGGTGTAAGTAAGATGAGCATTAACAATGCTTCTTTACCAGTACTCCCAGACTTTAAAATGTAGAACTATCCAAATATTTTTATAATCATGGTTTACTCGCAGCAATCAGGGATATAATCTATGAATTGCGTAGTATTTTATGTAATGGATTCAAAAAACTAGCACAGACTAAGCTTTGCACGGAAACTACCATCACATTCTGTCCACAAAAAATTCCAATAATGAAGTGTTAACCTCACTTATCCTCACAATCCGCTCCACATTTATTTCAAGTTATAGATGGACCATAAACACCGAGCCTCTTAACAGTCTTTGTCCTTGAATTGTATATAACTATTCCTCTCGTCTCAAGCAGCAAAAAAAAAAAGGATCATCCCCCAAAGTTTAAAAAACCACGCGTTCACCACTGTCACTAAAATTGTCCATCATCAATTCGCTAAACAAATATCATGTCTGCTGTCTCATGATTCTAGGAAAATATGTCAACAAAATGATTTTTGTTTCTAGCCACACGTCGTTTAGAGAATAGAACACCACTTTACTTTTCCCAATAAGAGCATCAATCAATCATAATCAAAGAGCCACTTATGCTATCCTTCACATTAAAACTTTAGATTCAATAGACTATGAGATGTTTCACATGTTGGCTGGTCTAACTTCATAACATCAGCACAATCTCAGAAGTAGAGATGAGAGAATGGCCCGTTATTTTCCCATGTAAACTGTCTTCCGATTTCCCTCTCTCCGTCCAGGGTTGTGCCATCCAAAATTGTCAATAGGTTTTCTAACTCAAATGAAACCATCTTAACTGAAAGCCTACCCCCCCGTCCCCCACCACTCTCCCGAGTAAAAGAAGCCATCAAACAAAAAGGTTCTACCTGGACAGAGGAACCCATCTTGCCCAAAATGTTTCCCTAAACAAAGGAAGTTATCTCACCCAACATGTTCCTCCTCTCCTCAACAAAGGGACTCACTCCTCTCTTTTAGGTATGTCATAAAAAAAATTCACCACCATAAGTGTGTCTGCCAAGTAACCATTTGAATAACAGATGTCAAGGCCTTCTTAGACAGCTACACCAAAATGCCTAGACTTTCAAATTTATTCTACTAGTAATTCCATAGTTACCAAAAACACAGACTGACTCTCCAAAGCACATCCACAGAAAGCCAAACTATTTCTGATATCATGGACAATTTATTACTCATGTGAGATGGAAATTCATAGTGTTGTCTTATGTAATACATTTATAATGATTTAAACTAGTATCCTACCTCCTCTCACTAAAGTTTCAAATAAATGTTAACAAAAAGTGCCAAATTTTGACCACCTAATCCAACATATCCAATGTTCTTTGGTAATAGGTAGAGTAGAAAATGTTCCAACATATCCAATGTTCATTTCCGGTCTTTGAGATCAAAAAGAAAAGAAAGAAAATTAGTAGAATGGAAAAGGTTGTTATTGTTCATCTGAAGGATATACCACACAAATAATTAAGTTGAGTTCACAATAATGCGCATCGATGTGGACCAATAGCATTTGCTTTGTCAAAGAAAAAGTAAAATATTACCATTAATATGAACAACTGTGTAAATTAATAGTCTTCATCCTAACCTAGACACCCAAAAGGTACTATTGTGGTTGATTTACCCAATAATATCCTGATGAACGACAGTGGAACACTTCTTCGAGCATAGTTTACCTAAACCACACATTTTTCTGTCCCATCCAAGCTAGTAGTCACTCTCCTGGAGAATCAATTACCGAACAATAGTTGATAAACACAATTTTTTTACAATCAACGCAAAGGAGTGTGAATCTTCTTCTGCTGTCAGCGTGACTCTCCCTTTTTTGAGGAACAATCGATGGATAGGGTATTCAAAACACATAATTCTCAGTTTACCAGCATCACCCTTTTTAGCTGGCGATTGATGAAGACTAATTGTTGTGGGTAGCGAATGTCCATCTGAACTAAACCATAGATAATTTGAGCAAGCAATGATTTACTTTCGAGAATTTTCTCATTACTCCAAACGAATCCCCCTCCCTCCTCGGCATATAATTCAGCTAAAACAAAATAGCGGTGGAGCTTCAAGCTCGTCATGATCTAACCAATTGAAACGTTGACAAATCGTCCCATCTCATGCAAAGTCGACACGTATAAATAACACGAGTAGAAATAAAACAAGACACACCGAACTCGATCGGGTCGAACTACTGGATAGAGCTGCTGAGGATGGAGTTTCACGACAAAAAAACTAGTGCCGCAGGCCTTCTCAAGATTCCCGCGGGTGTTCGTCGATGAGAGTGAGCTTTAGATATCTAGGAATCTTTGTTCTCGCGCCTCTCTGTAAAGTCAAACCTGACTGCCAACCCTACCAGCCCATCCCTTACATGACTCTGCTCTTCCCGCGATCGCCATCTCCATGGTAACAAAGGCCAAAACACTGATCTTCTGACGCCTTTGGAATCTCTGCGTTGCGCGGAAGAAGACGAACTACGTCACGCCAATTACATTTTTTAAAAAAATATTTTTCATGTACGTAGGGGATTTTCAATACGTCTCACATCGAATCGCATTGTCCATTGTGTCCACGGATCAATATGACGTCATTTCTGGTCATTTCACTTTGACGTCATTGCCCACGTGAGAGCCGCACCCCCCTTCCAGCGACCTAGGCACCAGGGTTCCAAATCGGCCACGAACCCACCCCTCCCCCCTTTTGTCGTGGCGCGCGCTCGAACCCCACCGCCGGAGGATGCTCATGCCAACTTCACCTTTATCGCCCAGAGAATCCGTCAACTGGGCTTACAAAACTTATGCCTTTTTTATTTATACATCCACCAAACATCATATATTCCAAGTTACTCCCTCGAATGTTCTTGAATAAAGGGCATATGTGTAGTTTCAAAGGTTTTCAGATATATATTGAAATATAATATGTAATCTACATTACTAAGATACATATGCTGTCCGATTATCCCCCATAATATTCCCCCACTTGTGAACCTTGTTGCCAATACTTTATATATATATTTTTCTAAGTTTGGCCATTTGAGAACAATGTATTTGAGAAGTCAACGTCTAAAGAGGATATGTTAAGATCCCAATGGGCCTAACTTATTATAAGCCATAAGGGGGACATAAAGTGGCCTAATACTTCCTATAAAAGGGACAAAACAATCACTTGAAGTGAAGACTTAGGGAGGGGCAGTTAGGCCTTTTGTCTATAAGAAGAAAAGATATATTAAGGCCCAAGTTGAAGGGGGAATTGAAAAATTATTCTAAAGTAGTGAACAAGGCCCTTCTAAAATGTCTCGATTGACTTGAGAGTTTTTAAGAGCCCAATCAATGTTTTTTGTTGGTTAATCTTTATTTTTCATCTCTATCTTCTATGTTTTCCATCAATTGTGATCTTGCAAAGGGAGATGACAACTAAATTTGAAGACATAATAACAAAAAAGCTGGAAAGGGCAATATAGGAATTGTACAAAGATTTATGATGATGTACAAAGAAGGAGAGACACCTACAATTACTCTTGGAGATGGAGAGCTACATGCAACAACATCCAAAGATGGATTTTCATGTATAAGTATTTTGGTGCCATAGCAATGCTTAGAAAGTCCATTTCAAAGGTTAGCATAGCTCAAACAAGAGAGGGAGAAGTTGTGGTGGAGCATGGGTTGAGAGGAAAAAAAGATCCGTGGATAGTGGCATTTTAGATGTGGGAACATAGATGATGTCATGAAGAGAAGAACATTACCAAATTGTAAATTTAAAGCACTTGATAAGTTTGTTTAACTTCTCGATTTTATTTGGACAATTGATGAAGAGCTATTGTAGTATTTCTTCACGATTTAGATTTCTCAAAGGTTGTGTACATTATTATGGTTGAGATGATAATGTTAATAAAATATTATTACTGATATATATTATTTGATATGCTTTATTTCATAATGTGTAAACTTGTCCCCCACTATTTGTCAAGGCCATGTTTGTTGGAATCTTTGATGTTGCTTATGATCTAACTATAATGAAGAGGCATGTTTAAGTAAAGTTGAGGGATCTTATGTATCAATATAATGATATCAAATTAATTAACATGACATTCTCACGTATCATAGTAGAAATAATTATGTTAACTTTTACTATTGATATTTATGGAAAACATCATGTTAACATTAGATTAATATTATTAGATATATAAAACTTCTTGAAAAAGTAAATTGATTTTCATCAGTCATTCTTTTTTTTTATCCCAATTGTGAATTCAAGTATAAAATTGAGAATGAAAATTTTAGATGATAAAATTGAGAAGATGAGAAATGAAATTCAACATCAAGTTTTGAAGTAATATGGAGGATTAGTGAGGGCATCCAACATGGTGTATACTATTGATGAATAATTGGATGACAAGAATATGTTAGATGACATTTAGATGCACAAATGAAATC